AAATGGTCAATTTTTCCGTGCAGTACTGTACGGATTATACGCTCCTCACCGGTTAAGAGTTCGGCCCAGAGTTGTCTCCTTTCTTTTCTGGTCTAGTGATGTTCTTTTCTACTTTGCGCCGGTCAAACTGAAAGTCATATCGCTACAGAAAGTAAACGAAGTATAATTATGTCCTTGTAGGCGATAGTGGTAGTAGTGGTAGAGTATAAAGTCACAAACCTGAGGATGCGAAACGTCGGTGTTGATTTTGGATAAATAAAACACTTTTCACCCCCTTAAGTTGCTTGAATAGTCCTGTTCATTGGTATTAGGAGAAGAATTACAAATATATATATATTATTATTTNNNNCAAATATATATATATTATTATTTATTATTTAATTTTATTTGGTAGACGTTGAATAACTATTAACTAGTAACGTTTAATTAGTCATACAAAGCGAGTAGATTTAAAAAGGCAACTTCTAAACATAAAAAGAGAAGTGAAGATCTCGAAAACGGCATCGCCTCTTAAATTCCCGTTCCTATTATATTAAGGAAATATGAAGCCGTCAGATATCTGCTCCTAATTCGTGAAAATACTATCTGCTTTAATTGGATTTAATCAAGAATAGTCTATTATAAACCATGAGTACATAGGTATTAAGATTGCTTTATAAATAATCGCAAGTATAATTCGCTAGACAAGATGTTAAATATACTTAAAAATTGTAGGGATAAGTTACAAGAATAAAAAAGTGATACTTAGTTTTTATAAAGAACAACAGGCAATTATAGAGCTGGGGCAGCAACGTAAAAAAATAAATATTAGGAAAAGAGTCAGGCAGAGATGCACACTGTCACCACTATTTTTTAATCTATATAGACTGTAGGGATAGATATACAAGGGCAAAAGATTAGTATGCTTAGATTTGCAGATGATATAGTCATCAAGCAAGGAGGAGTTAGAAACAGCTTTAAATAAAATGGATGCGGTACTGACAAAACAGTACTATGTGAACATAAATAAAAGTAAAACAAAAATACTGGTATGCAAGGGAAGAAAAAATAGGGAGAGATCGAATATAGAGATAAAAGAAGAAAAATCAGAAGAAGTGAGCGATTTTAGGTATCTATGAAGTCAGATAAGTCAGGATGAATAAAAAGAAGTCACGAACGGTTAATTTAGAAATTCTGAAAAGGTTATCAAAGGTGTATGTTTGGAGCACGGCGCTATACGGGTGCGAAACATGGACAATGGACGCGGCGGAAAAGAAAAGGTTAGAAGCATTCGAAATGTGGTGTTACGGGCAAATGATGAGGATATCGTGGTTAGAGAAGGTTATAAATGAAATAAGGATGTGGATTGTTCTAGTTTTAGGGAAATGCGAAGATTAGCTTAGGTTAGGAAGGAATGGAGGAGCGTGTCCAACCAGTCTTAAGACTGACGACCTTATAATGATGATGATGATAATTCGCTACTATTTAAAAAAACATGAAATTCTCAGTTTTTCATCAGAATTATTCAATGCAGATCGCAATTTCGAATTTAATAGTTCGTATCAGTTTCGACCAAACCGAAATTGAGCGTAAAAAGGATAATATAAATACTATAGAAAATCAAGGTTTAGGGAGTATATCGCCACGTACTGATATTTGTTGCTAATTGTAATACTTTAAATGTTTGACAAAAACCTAAGAATGTACTGTATCGCCGAACGTTGGGATCGCTTAACGTAAGCGAAATTTTCAATCACCTGCGGTCCCTTTTACTCAAAGCCGGGCAAACTCGGCTCTTTTGACTCCCGAGTGCTCCTCAAGGTTAACCAAGTAGCTCCACATTGATCCTGCGAGTGCGACTGAGATGATTCTTTCCTTTTCTTATCCCTTCCATTTCGTAGGTGAGTCCCCTCTTCCATAGCCAAACCCAATGGTTTTGCGAACGTAGTAACGAAAAATTTCGTAGGTATTATTTAAGTTGCGAGAGTGGCTTCGCTCGTCTACGGGATGAAGGGGCTTGATATGGGAGTGGAAGGGAGAAAAAGAAAGACAAAACAAAATTATTCATTACTGCTTACTCTCTCGTACTCATTGAAAGGTATGGAGTGACTCAAACTAACCTCATGTAGCGGCTCCTGCGAAGTTAAAGTTTGCCCGGCTCTGCTTTTACTGACGTATATTAAATTTGCCAACAAAATAACTAACGTTAAATTTAATACCAGTTACATCAATTCGACGAACTAAGCCAATAAACTAGACTAATAAATTAAATTGATAAACCAAATTGGGACTAAATAGGAGACAAGAGATAGTCTGGGGGATTAAGTCTGACCTTGATTCGTTTGTAGCTTTCGGGAAGATATTCTCTAACAGCCTGGAATTGATTCGGTTAAACAAAATATAGTATGATAAATAATAAAGTTTATTGGCTTTTGCTCGGTACTTAAAGTTCAATTTGAAAGGGTGATGACTGCGTAAAATCAAAGAAACCTTGTATAATAAAATGTTAAGTACCTACAAAAATTGAATTCTTCAATGGTATTGGTAACCCTTACTCCACAATGTTTTTTGACTCATTAGCATAATAGAATTTTAAGTATGTCTGACTTAAAAATAGTTATCAATTTTATTTTATTTTTCACGAAGTAATAAATGATAAAAAACATAGATGAAATATCGCATCACTGAATTTGGTTCACTCAGCAACTAAGTCCATGCAATCGCCTTCAAGTTACGATTTTTTGTTTATTTCTTAAAGGAATATAAGGACTATAAACAAAAACTACCCTTATTAATGATCACCTTATTATGTACAGACCTAAACAATATTTTATTTTGTGTCAAATTTTTTACACTTTTTCGAATATATAAAATTTTTCCGGCCCGTGGGTTTAATCGTAGTTTACCATATTTATTTTATAATGGTCACTAATCTTCGGTATCTAGAAAGTCATAATTCAGGATGGAAGGGGCAGTAGAAATATTAAAACAGAATTATGCAGGGTTGAGTTTTTAACAAATAGAAGTCACTTCTCTGCTCGCGAACGATTAATTTAGAAATTCGAAAAAGATTGTTAAAGGTGAACTTCTGAAGAACAACAATGTACGATTGCAAAACGTGGATGGTGCGGCGGAAATGGTTAGAAACGTTCTAGATGTGGTGTTAAAGCGAATGATGAGATACCCTGGATAGACAAAGTTAGAAATGAGGAGGTATTAGAAACAATAGTCAAAGTCAAAAAGAAATAGGCGAGATAGGTTGGTAGGACACCTTCTCATGCATGAAAAGCTAGTTAGAAGCAGAAAGTGGAGTTAAGAGAAGTAAAGGTAGAATTAGATTAAAAGTGTTCACAAATAATCAAGGATGTGGGAAGTTCTAGTTTTAAGGTAATAAGTAGATTAGCTTAGGATAGGATAGAATGTCAAACCAGTCTTAGACCCGAGGATCCTATGATAATTATAATAATTATGATGGCCAAATAGGAAGAACCAATATATTAAAAAAATACATTATTTGTGCAACCATATATTCAAAAATTAAGTGTTGAAACTATGAAAGAAAATTAAATTTGATTTTAAAACAATATATAACAATATTGCCTATTTTATTGATAAGTTTACAGTTGAGTTCATAATAATGTCTGTTTGGGTCTAAATCTAATATAGAGATACCTGTATAACTTTACATGAGGCCCGTGGTGCAATGACTTATTTCCAAAGTGGTCTGCAAAATTATTTGGGTTGACCACTTTTGTTTTAGTGTTTTTCTGAGTCAAATAACTGGCATTTCTTATGTAAGACACATAGATAAATTTGGTTATTATGATATAGCAGGGTTAGCATCTATCAAGAACAATTAAAATAAAAAAAAGACAAGGACAAGAGAATATGCTATGTAACCAAAAATATTAATTTACAAAACAGGAAAAATTTAAAGATGGATTAGTTTTAGTGACCTTAATAAAACGTAACCTTTAATACTGTATGGAATCTAATGGTAAGCTTCAGTTATATGGGTTCATCATTCACGTTATTTTCTTCAAGTGTTACCTCTGCACAGATTGAGTAACTGCTGAAATTTCACTGTGAATTATAAATACAAAGAGATTCAATCTTAAATCGTTTTTTAACAGCAGTGACTGGATCGCATTTCCTTCATTTCCCGGAAACGTTTCAACACTCTTTATCTGTTATTTCTACCCCACAAGATATTTATCGTAATATCTGTAAATATACTGTTCAAATTCTAAGAAAATCGATTATAAACAAATAATTTCCACATAAAATACATGAATTTATAAGTCTAATTTTTGTCATAAATGATAATTATATTGCTGGCCTTTTTTATTAACATTTATTACGATTTTATCTGAAATGTGGAATCAAAAAAAATATGCATCCATGCAGTTCACAATTAAAAGTAGGTATTATTCTATTATGATAACATGGTTTATTACAATACTTAAGTTGTATCCTTTGCATAACTAATTAGTTTATGGTAGATTATTTTATTTTAAATTTTCATGTAAGACTAAAAAACCAGGTACCTACATCTTATAAAAGACAAGAAATTGTTGAGAATTAAATAATCATGACCCATATTAAAGTTGTGCAATTATTAATTTTAATTAGTTTAATTGAATGTTTATAGTCTATTATCTACTAAAGAAATAAAATATTGGTATTTCATAGGATTTTGGTTTTAATATCATGCCTAACCAAATCTATCTACAGATAAAGCTTTAGTTTTTTAAATTTTCTGATTTTTGTTTATTTTTATTATTTTTGCATTTCTTCTTTGATTAAAAGTTAATATCTCATAATCGCCTAAAAGGAAATTGTTGATAATAGATAAATCCTCATACAGTATAATCGTTACAAGGACATTCCTCGAGTAAAACACGTAAACATCCAATTCGATTTCCAACGAAATGCACAAACATCTCGAATAATAAAAAAAATCGATTCATAAATAAGAAAATTCTAATAAAATAGGTGAACGTCTAATTTCATGGACTTACCTTCGGTGCTTTGGGGAACGTTCCAACACTTCGGAAAAGCGATATGACAGCAGACGTTACGTTATCACGTACTGGAAAGTGCTTTACAAACTCATGACTTTGAGTGCAGTTGAAACCACGACAACACAACGTGACACGTCGCGTCACCAACTGGCGCATTTCATTGGGGGTGCGTCGTCACATAACATCCCTTTGACGCGCAAGCGCTCCCCGAATATCAATAATAAGATGGACAAATAAAATCCCCCAAATGGTAAGGCTTATTGCAGACTATTACTTAATCTAAACTTCATAAGAGTCTCAGTACTTCAGAAACCCAATCGTTTCCTAACTGTGGTAGACGAACTTTTCGGCCAACTAAAGCAGATATAACATTTAATAGTCCTGGCAAGTTTGCAGATTCTCTGATCAGATATCATGACGAAACGGAGAAATTCGTATCAGTTGCAATTCCAGATTGCCGGAAAGGTTTTTATATTTTTCTATTGGATCTCTCAAGGAGTTCGTTCTAATATGAAACGAAAGTTTATTAGGTTTCCTTGCATAGGGAAACTCGTCTTCTCATCTATCTATTCCCTCAAATAAACGTGGGAAATTAAAAAAAATACTGTTCCAGAAATCAATAAAATCTAACTGATAGCAGTAGCAATTTTTCATCATTAATTTAAGGTTATCTGCAGTGGTAAAAATTAATTCACTTTAATATATTAAAATAGCCCTACAAAAGTTCTTGTAAATGTCTTATTGTTATTAATGATTATACATTGGTTCAACGATTCTGTGACCTACGTAGTTAGGTTAGGTTAGATCAGGTTAAGTTATCGTCTTTGTTACTGCTGTCACCTCCCGTATCGCGTAAAGCCAGGGACCCGGGTTCGATTCACGGCGAGAACGTGACAACAGTATCATTTTTTCCTCATTAATTGAAGTTATCTGTTGTAGTAGTAAATATTAATTTAAAAATTAATTCACTATAATGTATTGAAGAAAATCTAAAGTTGCATATTTTTCTCCATATGTACTTATCTCAGACTGTTTGCTAGATTTCTTCATATCCTTATGCGAAGAATTTACAGTAGGTATATATTGTTTCTGTCTTCTAACAAATTTTTTATTTGAATATCATTGATGCGATAGTACGAATTTTAACAAGAAACCCAACGTAGGATCAACCATCTTTTCAACGTTAAGAGCATCTTCAAGGGGTAGAATTATGTTACCTGATTAATTTTTTTGATGTACTATATAAGATGTGGACAATATATCGTCATCTGCTGATATTTAGATTCTGATAACTGTATAATTTCAAAATGTTTTGCAAGGGCCTTACGTAGATAATTACTCATCAAACTGAATCTACCACACCCCGCTTATATAGTAGAGTTTATGTATTACGAGAAGTCTTGTAGCAAGAATTCCATAGAAATTTGGCCTTACTGAAGTCGAGAAAAAAAGTCAAAAGCCACAAGAATTAAAATTCAAAAACTAAATAGTTTTGTAAAAGCGTGCATTGCTCTAGTAAGCTCTAATCTATTAAAATATAAGGATTAATTTAAAATTGTTGATTTTTAAAAATTTAAAACTATTTTTACCTAATTTAGTTAAAAGCCTAATCATTTGCAGGAAATAAGCGAAATGTTCGGTCCAAAAAAAAAAATACTCGAGAAATAAGAAACCCGATTATACAGTATGTATGTAAACCAAATAAATAATTTATCTTATATCAAGCACATAAACTGCGTCATAAATTTAATTTAATAGATCAAGCCCTTGTCAATCTCTTTGAATAAAATATAAGTTAACAGCAAACGGCGATATCGAGATTGCTTATGGCGTTGCTGATGGAAAATTCGAAATCACAATCTGCCTCTGGGGGTTTTGACAAATTACTGACCAATAAACTAATGTTCCTCTGTTCTATATTAATATTTTGTGAAATTTTAAATAGCCAAGATAGACAAATATAAAGCTGACTTCTTGTAAGTAGATTAAGTGTTATGCTCGTGTTCAATCACATTCTCCATGGTCTTGGATTTGCAGTTTTGCTCTTGGTCTTGCAGTTTTGATCTTGGTCTTAAGAAAATGGAAGACCAAGTCCATGACTAAGAATGTCTTTATACTAGTAAGACCGAAACCGAACAAACAACACCAAGACTAAAACCAAAACCGAATATGCAATCCCAAGACCAAATGCGTAAAACAAAAAATTATTACTTCCGGTGGATTTATGAGTTAATACTATTTAAAGTAAAACATTCTTAGTGTTTGAAGTTTTCAGTTCGCTTTACTATATTTTAACGCTAAATATAAAAAGAATTAACTTTCCCAGTGTTTGAAAAAAGGGATCTACAAAAATTTCCTCAGAGTAAGTGTTCTTTGTTCCTATAGGTATATGGATAAGACATAGTTAAAATATATAAACATACTAATTCTTTTTCTAGTTACTTATTTCTAGTAACTTGTAAGTTTTCGAGTCATCATAACTTTCATTATTAAAAAGAAAACGTAAGTATCAGATTTAATGAACAAGACCAATACTTCACACGCAAGACCATGACTAAGACCAAGACCATATTAACAAGACCAAGATCAATACCAAGGCTGTCCAAGACTGGGACAGTCTTGGTCTTGGTCATGCTTTGCTCATCACTAATATTTACACTTACATGAACCTAAATGTAAATGAACGTAAGTGCGAATATTAATTAATATTTGTTTAATTCTAAGGAGGTAGTTTCCCTCATTACTTGAAGTTAGGTACGCCGATACACAAGTTCAGATACTGTTTCGTTTATTTTCTGAAGCGGAGTGGAGTCACACCTAATAATAATAATAAAACAACAAATTCGTTGTATTATCTAGACTTTAAAATTTCTAAATCATTATATTGACTTCTTAAAGTATCTGATTAAATATGGCTTAAAATAATTCGAAGTGGTCTGTATTCTGTCGAAACTGTCAGACGCGGATCGCGATTTCGATCTTTTTGGATCTCATCAGCGCGTCGCAGACAGCTCCGACAGAACACAGACCAACTTTTACCTGCTGACTTAACAATACGTAACGAAAATACGTAATCCTAAAATGTAGCATCATGCTACAGATGGCGTTCACTGTGCCGTTTGTAGTATTTTCTAAATATGGCTTATTTACTAAAATCTCCATTATTTAAAACACATCAGTACTCCTCGCAATGATTGTCACACTGCATTTTTATAGATCTCGCACTTAAAAAAATGATGATTAATGCTCGAAAGTCTTTATAACGCGCTTACCACGAATCGACCTAGAAATATATAGTTTTCGCACCTTAGCGTGGCATTCGGGAGAACGCTGGTTCGCTTCCGGATCCATCTGCGTTGGTCCAAATCTTTTTGTGGATTCCTTGGATCACTTAAGCAAATGCTGGGGCAGTAATATTCCACAGATAATCTTTCATTCTCTCTTGTCCTCATTTCGTCCATCTCATCTTTCTCACCCGAACCACCACCCACCCATTCCCACGATTCCTGAAAGGAGGCTGAAGAGGGTTGCCAAAATTTAAAAGGAATTGACACTATCATCCAGTGGTGTAGCGTGAATATCTGCCACCCGGGGCTGCCTAAATTTGCCACTCTTTCATATTTTCGCAGTTATGTATAACCGTTTATTTAAGTTAGTCAGGATTGCAGTGAAAAGACGTACCTACACAAAACTTATATTTTTAATTTAGCCTTTGAGGAGATAAGTATTAGTGTTTATAAGAATAAATACGTTTTTCAATCTTTTTGTTTAAACAAAAAAACGAATGCTATGAATTTTTCTTTAGATTACATTGTTAGTACTACTCATTGAGAAGCCTCAATACATCTCTAAATTATCTAGCAATGGTATTGTAACCGTTTAATTGCAAAATACGTTGAAAACTACAATTTGGATTTTTCAAATCTATTACAAAAACTTATCAGTATTAGCATCTATCAAGGAGGAGTTAGAGATAGTTTTAAATAAAATGGAAGAGGTATTTACAAAACAGTACTGTATGAAAATAAATAAAAGTAAAACTAAAATACTGATATGCAAGGAAAGGAAAAGTAGGGAAAGGGCGAATATAAAAATAGGAGACGAAAAATTAGAAGAATTGACCGATTTTAAGTATCTAGGAAGACAGATAAGTCAGAACGAAAGGAGTAGTAGGGATATAACACAGAGGATAACGCAGGCTTGAGTCGCCTTTAATAAAAAGAAGTCACTTCTATGCTCGCGAAGATTAATAATACATGGATCATCTTTTGGAGCTGATTTGGGCTCTGGAGCAGGAACTGCAGTGGCAAAAGCCAAAACAGCGAAAATAATAACCCGAAATTTGTTTTCAATTGTTTTATTATTCGGTCAGTTGTGAATATTGATGCAATAAAATTTATCTCATATGTGGCATATTATGCATTACTTTTGTTATCATCATCATAAGGTCGTCAGTCCTAAGACTGACACGCACCTCCACTCTTTCCTATCCCGAGCTAATCTTCGCATTTGCCTAGAACTAGAACTAGAACAACCCACATCCTCAACTATTTGCCAACAGTAATCTAATCTAGATCTACCTCTACCCCTCCTAATTCCAGTTTCTGCCTCTAATATGTCTCTGACTAGACCTTCATGCCTGAGAAGGTGTCCTACTAACCTATCTCGCCTATTTCCTATTGACCTCCATAGAGTCCTCTGTTCCCCTATTCTTTCTGATAACTTTTTATTTCTAACACATTTCTTACGTTTCTAACTTTTTCTTTTCACCCACTGTCCATGTTTCGCTCCCGTACGGCGCCATTCTCCAAACATTCACCTTTAACAATATTTGTCGAATTTCTGAATTAACCGTTCGCGAGAATAGAAGTGACTTCTTTTTATTGAGGGCGACTCGACCCTGCGCTATCCTCTACTTTATATCCCTACTACTCCTTCCGTCCTGACTTATCAGACTTCCTAGATACCTAAAATCAGTCACTTCTTCTAATTTTTCGTCTCCTATCTTTATATTCGCTCTTTCCCTACTTTTTCCTCCCTTGCAAACCAGTAGTTTTGTTTTACTTATTTATTATTTATTTTCAAACAATATTGTTTTGTCAACACCTCTTCAATTTTATTTAAAGCTATCTC